GACTATTCTTATTCTCATAGGCAAAATAATAGTAATAATGTTTACATTCAAGATTTGTTAGAATTATTAAACAAGATTTTTTATGTATACATATTGTGTGTGCTTAAAAATAATAAAATTATTATTGTTGATTATTTATCATATGAGTAATAGTGTAAACACACAAATCAGCAATGTATTTTAAAAAGAATATACATTTTTGGTTCAGGGAATAAAATATCTGCCATCTTTTTGATAAAATAGTAAAATTTGCCATATATTATCCAGAGAACTTGTTGGGACTGTCAACATTTTAGACACATCTAAAAATAGCTTTAAAACTTAGAAAATAGTATGACTGACATTGCAAATGACTGGATCAGAAATCTCAGGCTAATTTCTAATCTTCTTTTCACCCTTGAAAATGTCTACTCTCCAAAGTGGCATGTTTGGCCCCGGTCAGAGACATGGGCCTCACCTATGTGAGTAACTACACAATTTCAGGTTTTCTTTCCCTTTCCTTCACTTCCTGTAGATTCACTGGACTGCCAGTGAGGAAGAAAGTTGAAGTATGAGAAACCACAAAAATGTTTTAAATCCATTTATATGAAGCTCTTGAGATTTACTTGGTGATGAAGATAACCACAGAATAAGGACAACATTATGAAGGTTTTCAAGCCCAAACTTGTCCACAGTGTACTGTGAGTGTATTTTAATGTTTCCTCTCAAGTTTCCTTTTGAATGAAAAGAAACTATAACCTAGACAGTGGGCATCAGAAAGCCCCGAAATTTCCTTGCATTATAATAAACTTCTTCAGGAAGCATTGCCAAGTTGTAGAAATCTGTATTGCAAAGTGGTGTCTATGACTTTAAATGTGAGCTGTATGCAGTGTTAGACTAATCAGTCATTAATTCTACCCCTCCGAAAATGTAGAAGAATCTAAAGTAACAGCGAGTACCTGTTCTCAAAAGAAAAAAAACCTACTTATACAATTGCCTCATAGAAGATGCCCATTAGCACTTTTGAATTCACTGCCCTGGGGAATAGCATATATAAATCCCTGAAAGGATTTTGGAGTGACACCTCTAAGATATCCTGGGAGGAACTCTTTCTGGGTCTATTCCAGTTTGCACTTGATCTCAATTACCAATTTCCAACCGTGAGCAAACTGCATAACCTCCCTTCAACTCAACTTTTCAATTGTATAACAGGACCCATAATATTTGTAACCTAACTCCACAAACAGGATGCTGTAAAAATGATTACAGCAATGTTTCCAGGATGCTGGGAGGTCTGGGATTAACATGCTGAAATGTGGCACAAAGTTAAGTCTTAATCAGTTGTGCATATAGGTGAGTATGGGTTCTAGTTTTGTGTAGGCAGCATCTGAACTTCAATCTACTCCAGCTCTGAAAGTCTGTGTTTTCTACAATACACAATTCAGTTTTGCTGTGTACTCACAGCCTATCTTATCTTTAGTGATGTAGACTATTCTTGCACCCCTGTATCTCTCTACCATCTATTGTCCCTGGCTCTTAAAATGCCCCAAACCTTTCATTCTTTACTTTTTAGTACTGTTTTGTTATATTTGTCCTTGGTTAGTAAAAGAAAAAAAGATAAAAATATTTCTAAGTATATGTAGCTTTAATGCCACTTAAAAATGTAAACTCAAAAGGGAAAATGAAGGATAGCAATGGGATTTAACAGTATTTAAAGGTCAATGCTATTTAAGCCACATTGTATTAATTTGATCCTTAGAAGAAATTTGATGACAATCACTAGATCAAGTTAGGAAGTTATTTAATGCTAATGCCTGTTTATAGGATTTCAGGATAAAGGAATATTCATTGGTTTCCTGTTTTAGTAACATCCCGAGACAGACCTACTTGAAATCTCCTCTTTAATCAAAAGTAATCATGATACCTCTCTTTCTTTAGCTCACATCTTTGCTTCCGTCTTGCATGCTCATGTCCCAACACAAGCACACAGACATTCCCATGGAAATAGTTATTAGCCAGGGACAGGTTATTAAAATTGAACAGATAATGTCAAGATGTAGCTGCCAAGAAGTATCATCATTTACAGAGCATCCCTTATTGGATTTCTCAGTGCCCCTAAAATTCACAGGCTACTCATTCCCTAGGTAAGAAATTAAAGAGTGTCAAGATAAAAACATTTGTAAATGAGTTAACACTTGTATCTCAGAGGTCCAGGTTATGAGAGAAGATATAGATCAGTCTTGATGAAGGGAGGTGGAGGGATATGTGTATAGAATAGGATGTTAGTAAGTAGAAGATCAGAGGTGCATATATATAAAGAAAAAAGAGCTCCTGGGCAATAATTAATTAACAAGATAGCACTATGTATGCAGAATTGATGATGTAAGTTCAAAGACAATTGGAGAATCCCATCATTTGTTGTAACAGGGCTCAATATTATGTCGCATGTAAAAGCTGAGGAAAGACAAATATACCATGGCAAAGAGATGACTCACAAGGATTCTAATAACTTAATTCAAATATCTTTAGGGATTTCTATCACTGGGATGCTTAACTTAAGACTAGATGACAGTTGATGTGACTGCCATAGAAGAAACTAAAGCACCATAGATGTTGAGTTGGACCAAACACATGGAGAAAGTTTTTTTTGGACTATAATTCTATGGCTTCATAAACTTTTTGAAGACTGGTTATCCTATGAATACTTACATTGGAAGGTGAATTGGAAATCACATTTATCAAGAGTTTTGTATTCTGTATTTGACTTTATTTAAATGTCTGCATAATTTTTAAGAAGCCAAGGATGAGTTTTAGAAAGCAATTGAAAATTTGAAACAAATTCTAGGATTCACACAGGGCCAAGAATAGCTTATGTCCTACCAGCCACTGTTAAAGCCTCATAATATGAAGGCATCAAGTAGAGTCTACAGATTAGTACTATCTTAGTTCTGGTGCTACATTGCCTCTAACTCAAGGCTGCTCTGAATGTGCCCTAACAAAGTTCAAAACAAAAGACTTGAAAGAATGCAACTGATCCTAAATTGACTTTACACCAGAACAAAATCCAACATGATTTCAAGGGACAGAACCAAACCCAGTAAACAGCAAAAACAAAACAAAAAAAAATCACAATATCTATCATTCAATAAAAATAAAGCTTTTGCAAAGGAAGAAAATTGATTCAAAACCAGAAGAAAAAAATAAAACAATAGAAGCAGATCTCAAAGAGCAGAGATGACAGAATTAGGAGACAAAGACATTGAAATGGCCTTATAAATATATTTAATGGATTTAAGGAAATCAATGCATAAAATAAGCATCATAAGAAAAGAAATGGAAAATATTTTCAAAGGTTGAAATGAAAATTTTAGAGCTGGAATACTTGAAATGTGAAAATACAAACAAACAAAAACACTAAATGGGATTAAAATCAGATTAGCCACTGTAAAAGATAAGGTTGGTGATCTTAAAGATATAAAAATATAATGATTCACAGAAAGAAAAAAGGAAAATAAAAGATCAGAGTATCAATGACCTGAGAGTATATAAAATAGCTTAACATTTGTATAATAATATTCCAGAAGGGGGAGATGAAGAAAAAATACTAGAAGAAAAACATTTGGCAAAACATTTTCCAAGTTTAATGAAAGCTATAATACTAACTCCAATGACTTGAATAATTTGCTATCCTCCTCTCAACACATGCACCAAAGTTGAGTCCATCTTAATCCTGATTGTGACCTTACTTACAAACAGAAAATTTGTAATGTAGTTAATCAAGATGAGATCATTCTGGATTAGGCTATCTAATTCAATTACCTGTGTTTTTATAAAGATAGAAAAAATTGGACATATATTCAGGTATGAAGGCCATATGAAAGCAGAGGGAGAAACTGGAGTGACTCAAGGCAACCACCTGAACCTAGACAAAGCAAGGAGGGACACTTCCCTAGGCCTTTCAGGGGGGAGTTGGTCATGCTGACACCCTGAGTTTAAATTTCTTTGCCCTGTCACTGTGAGATAATAAATTTATGTTGTTTTAAACCACCCAAATTCTGACAATTTGTTACAGTGTCTCTAGGAAACTACTAACTCACAAACCCAAGAAACTCAATTAACCCCAAGAAAAAGTAAACAATGAAAAGTCATGCTGAGAGCTAGCCTAACTACTTCAAAAATGAAAGTATTATGAAAAAGGCACACAGGACCCAACCTAGAAGACCTCTAAAATGTCAGAGTTTTAATGATTTGAACAAAATTACAAATTATGTAGTTTTAGATTATAAGCCAAAGTATAACTTAAGTAGTCATAAGTCACCAATATAAATAAATGATTTAATAAATAATTAAATGGGGTAGATTAGGCATATCTGGTATACAGAAAAATTTCCAGTAATTTATGTACATCCTACTCCCTACAAGTATTCAACTATCTCTAAATATTGCCTATGCTTAGTGACTTGCTTCTAAAGAGTTTTGAAAGCTGTATGTGTGGTGTGGGTGTAGGAGATAATTTTATAGTAGAGAAACCAAGCAACCACTATTTTAACCAGGTTATGAATATTAACATCATTAGGAATAGGGCATTTCCATGGCACATACCCTTGATATGATATAACAATGGCACATCACCTCTGTGATCTTCCTCCCCAAAGAACATCAGCCCAATCTAATAAAGACATTATACAAGCCCGGCGCCGCGCGCCTGCGCGCAGGCTGTGAGGAACTCGGCATCCCGGCCTCCGTGGGCGAGGGGGCGGCGGCCAGGCAGCGGGAGGCGTGCCGCGCGCTCCGATGGGAAGCGTCCGGCAGCCACAGCGCCAGCTCCGTCGTAGTTGCTGCAGCCCGGGTCCCGCTCGCCCCTCCTCCCGCTCCCCCGCTCCCCCCGCCCGCCGCCGCCCGCAGCCGCCCGCGCGCATGCGCCGCCGGAGCGCGGGGGTCGGCTTCGGGTGTGTGGTGGCGGCAGAGCGGAGCTGCGAGGCAGAACCTGGGGGAGAGGGATGGTCTCTGCACCCGGGAGAGCCGGAGGAGCCGCCGCCGCCGCCCCGGCGCCCGCCTCCCGGCGCTGACGGCCTCTTACGAAGCCGGCGAGGGGGAACCAGCCACCGCGGTCGCCTGCACGCCGCCCAGCATGGTCCGGGAAACCAGGCACCTCTGGGTGGGCAACTTACCCGAGAACGTGGGGGAGGAGAAGATCATCGAGCATTTCAAACGATATGGCCGCGTGGAAAGTGTCAAAATTCTCCCTAAGAGGGGATCTGAAGGAGGAGTGGCTGCCTTTGTGGATTTTGTGGACATCAAAAGTGCACAGAAAGCTCACAACTCTGTCAACAAAATGGGAGATAGAGACCTACGCGCGGATTATAATGAACCAGGCACCATTCCGAGTGCTGCTCGGGATTTGGATGATACAGTTTCCATAGCATCTCGTAGTAGAGAGGTGTCTGGGTTCAGAGGAGGTGGTGGAGGGCCTGCTTACGGCCCTCCACCATCACTTCATGCACGAGAAGGACGTTATGAGCGGAGACTTGATGGGGCTTCAGATAACAGGGAGCATGCTTATGAACATAGTGCCTATGGACACCATGAACGGGGGACAGGAGCATTTGATCGGACAAGACATTATGATCAGGATTACTACAGAGATCCTCGAGAGGGGACTTTACAACATGGGCTCTATTATACTTCTCGGAGTCGAAGTCCAAACTGCTTTGATGCTCATGACCCCGGATACGAACCTAGGGCTCGGGAGCAGTTTACACTGCCCAGTGTGGTACACAGGGATATCTACAGGGATGATATTACCCGGGAGGTAAGAGGCAGAAGGCCAGAGCGGAATTACCAGCACAGCAGGAGTCGCTCTCCACATTCGTCCCAGTCTAGGAATCAGTCTCCTCAGAGACTGGCTAGCCAAGCGTCTAGACCCACCAGGTCCCCTAGCGGCAGCGGCTCTAGGAGCAGATCCTCCAGTAGTGATTCAATCAGCAGCAGCAGTAGTACCAGCAGTGACAGTGCTGGGGATTCAACTCAGAGCCTCACACATGCTAGCAGTGATTCCAGCAGCAGTTCAAGTGATGACTCTCCAGCCCGATCAGTTCAATCTGCAGCTGTCCCAGCACCCACTTCCCAGTTGCTTTCATCTCTGGAAAAAGATGAACCCCGTAAAAGTTTTGGGATCAAGGTTCAGAATCTTCCAGTACGCTCTACAGATACAAGCCTTAAAGATGGCCTTTTCCATGAATTTAAGAAATTTGGCAAGGTGACCTCAGTGCAGATACATGGAGCTTCTGAAGAGAGGTATGGTCTGGTATTCTTTCGGCAGCAAGAGGACCAAGAAAAAGCATTGACTGCATCTAAAGGGAAACTGTTCTTTGGCATGCAGATTGAAGTGACAGCGTGGATAGGGCCAGAAACAGAAAGTGAAAATGAATTTTGTCCCTTGGATGAAAGGATAGATGAATTTCACCCCAAAGCAACAAGAACTCTCTTTATTGGCAACCTTGAAAAAACCACTACTTATCATGTCCTTCGAAATATTTTCCAGCGCTTTGGAGAAATTGTGGATATTGATATCAAGAAAGTAAATGGAGTTCCTCAATATGCCTTCTTGCAATACTGTCACATTGCCAGTGTTTGTAAAGCTATTAAGAAGATGGATGGGGAGTACCTTGGAAATAATCGCCTCAAGCTGGATTTTGGAAAGAGCATGCCTACAAACTGCGTGTGGTTGGATGGGCTTTCTTCAAATGTGTCGGATCAATATTTAACAAGACATTTCTGCCGATATGGGCCTGTGGTGAAGGTGGTGTTTGACCGTTTGAAAGGCATGGCCCTAGTTCTTTACAATGAGATTGAATATGCACAAGCAGCTGTAAAAGAGACCAAGGGGAGGAAACTCGGTGGGAATAAAATTAAGGTGGATTTTGCAAATTGAGAAAGTCAGCTGGCATTTTATCACTGCATGGAAAAATCTGGTCAGGATATCAGAGACTTCTATGAGATGTTAACAGAAAGGAGAGAAGAACGAAGGGGATCCTATGACTATAACCAAGATCAGACATACTACGAGAGTGTTCGCACTCCAGGCACATATCCAGAGGACTCCAGGCGGGATTACCCAGCTCGAGGAAGAGAATTCTACTCAGAATGGGAGACATACCAGGGGGACTACTATGAGTCACGCTATTATGACGATCCTCGGGAATACAGGGATTACAGGAATGATCCTTATGACCAGGATATTCGGGAATACAGTTACAGGCAAAGGGAAAGGGAGAGAGAAGGCGAAAGATTTGAGTCTGAGCGTGACAGAGACCATGAGAGGAGGCCCATAGAGCGGAGCCAGAGTCCAGTGCACTTGCAACGGCCTCAGAGCCCTGGTGCGTCTCCCTCACAGGCAGAGAGGCTGCCCAGTGATTCTGAGAGGAGACTCTACAGCCGGTCCTCAGACCGGAGTGGCAGCTGCAGCTCCCTCTCCCCACCACAGTACGATAAAGTGGACAAGTGTCGTCTGGAGCGCTATGCCAAAAATGAAAAGACAAATAAAGAGCGGACTTTTGACCCTGAGAGAGTGGACAGAGAGAGGCGCTTAATACGGAAGGAAAAAGTGGAAAAGGACAAAACCGACAAGCAGAAACGAAAAGGAAAAGTCCATTCCCCTAGTTCTCAGTCTTCAGAAACAGACCAAGAAAATGAGCGAGAACAGAGGCCCAAAAAACCAAGGAGTTCCAATAAACTGAGCAGAGAAAAGGCCGACAAAGATGGGATAGCAAAGAACCGCCTGGATCTCATGCCCTGCGTGGTCCTGACTCGAGTGAAAGACAAGGAGGGCAAGGTCATCGACCACACTCCCTTGGAGAAGCCCAAGTCCAGGCTGGATAACGATGCTGGCAAATCTTCTGCATTAGACCAGAAACTTCAGGCCTCTCAGATGGAGCCTGCAAAATCCGACCTGTCTAAACTGGAACCTGCCAGAGTGAAAGTGCCAAAGGAAAAAGTGCTTTTGAGTCACACCGAGGTGGTAGATAAGGAAGGCAGGCCTAGACCTCGGAAGCACCTCAAGCCCGAGCAGACTGCTGATGGCATGAGTGCTGCGGAGCTAGAGAAGCTGGAAGCCAGGAAAAGGAGCTTTGCAGATTCCAGTTTGAAAGCAGAAAGGCAAAAACCAGAAGTCAAGAAAAGCAGTCCTGAGATGGAAGATGCTCGGGTGCTTTTAAAAAAGCAGTCTGACGTATCATCTAGAGGCATCCTTCTGATGAGGGAGGGGGAGACTGAAAGAAAGCCTGTGAGAAAAGAGATTCTTAAAAGAGAATCTAAAAAAATCAAGCTGGACAGACTTAATACTGTTCCCAGCCCCAGAGACTTTCAAGAGCTTGCCAGTATTTCTGTGGGGTCTGGCTCAAGGCCCAGCTCAGACCTACAAACAAGACTGGGAGAACCAGTAGGTGAATCTGTGGAAAACCAAGAAATCCAGTCAAAGAAGCCCACCCCATCAAAACCACAGCTCAAACACCTGCAGCTCTTGGATGATCAAGGACCAGAGCGAGAGGATGTCAGGAAAAACTACTGCAGTCTTCGTGATGAAACACCTGAGCGGAGATCAGGCCAGGAAAAGCCACATCCAGTTAATCCTGAAGAAAAAATTGGCATTGACATTGATCACACACAGAGCTACCGAAAACAAATGGAGCAGAGTCGTAGAAAACAGCAGATGGAAATGGAAATAGCCAAGTCTGAGAAATTTGGCAGTCCAAAGAAAGATGTAGATGAATATGAAAGACACAGCCTTGTTCATGAGGTAGGCAAACCTCCTCAGGATGTCACTGATGATTCTCCTCCCAGCAAAAAGAAAAGGATGGATCATGTTAATTTTGATATTTGCACCAAGAGAGAGTGGAATTACAGGAGTTCACACCAAATCAGTGAGGATTCCGAAAGGACAGGCTGTTCTCCCAGTGTCCACCATGGTTCCTTCCATGAGGATGAAGATCCCCTAGGCTCTCCTAGGCTAATGTCAGGAAAAGGGTCTCCTAAAGTAGATGAAAAAAGTCTCCCTTACTCTAATATAACAGTGAGAGAGGAGTCCTTAAAATTTAATCCTTATGATTCTAGCAGGAGAGAACAGATGGCAGATATGGCCAAACTAAAACTATCTGTCTTGAATTCTGAAGATGAACTAAACCATTGGGACTGTCAAATGAAACAAGATGCCAGCAGATTTGTTGTGAGCTTCCCAAATAGCATAATTAAGAGAGACAGCCTGCGAAAGAGGTCTGTACGAGATTTGGAACCTGGCGAGGTGCCTTCTGATTCTGATGAAGATGGTGAACACAAATCCCACTCCCCCAGAGCCTCATCACTCTATGAAGGTTCCTGATTGTCTTTTTTATTGAGGGACAGAGAAGACAAACTACGTGAGTGGGATGAAAGACTCTCTAGTTCTTTAGAAAGGAACAAATTCTATTCTTTTGCGTTGGATAAGACAATCACACCAGACACTAAAGCTTTGCTTGAAAGAGCTAAATCCCTCTCTTCATCCCGAGAAGAAAATTGGTCCTTTCTGGATTGGGACTCCCGATTTGCTAACTTTCGAAACAACAAAGATAAAGAAAAGGTTGACTCTGCTCCAAGGCCTATTCCGTCCTGGTACCTGAAAAAGAAGAAGATCAGGACTGATTCAGAAGGGAAAATGGATGATAAAAAAGATGATCATAAAGAAGAGGAACAGGAGAGGCAAGAATTATTTGCCTCTCGTTTTTTACACAGCTCAATCTTTGAACAAGATTCCAAGCGACTGCAGCATCTAGAGAGGAAAGATGAAGAGTCTGACTTCATCTCTGGCAGGTTATACGGGAGGCAGGCATCTGACGGCAGGAACAGCACCAGTGACTCGGTGCAGGAGCCTGTGGTTCTGTTCCACAGCAAATTCGTGGAGCTTACACGAATGCAACAGAAAGAAAAAGAAAAAGACCAAAAACCCAAAGAGATTGAGAAACAGGAAGATGCAGAGAATCAACCCAAGACCCCAGAATCTGCTTCTGAGAGTAAAGAGCCAGAACTGAGGACTCCATGTGCAGCAGGGCTTGCTGGTGTCACGCCTGCAGCTCCAGAATTGGCATCATCAGCCCCAGAGAGGACGACCAGTGAGAGAACAGTGGAGGTGCCTTCAGTGACAGAAGAGAAGAGCGTGGAGCCAGCCACCCCCTCAGAAGAAGCAAAGCCCGAAGCTGAAGTGGCTCCTGTCCCTGTGGAGCAACCAGAGCAGGCAGACTTGCCTCCTGGAGCTGACACCAGTAAAGATGCCACTGTGGCGCCCCTCACAGCCGAAGATGGTCCACCCGCAGCCCCGCTGCCTTACCTGGATACCAAGCCGCTGACTCCTGGCACCTCATTTTCCCAAGTAGAGAATAATGTGGATCCGGAACCAGACAGTACCCAGCCACTGTCCAAACTGACTCAGAAGCCTGAGGACACCCACGAGCCAAAAGCAGAAAAGCCGGACGCAGCAGCAAATGTTGAGGCTAATACGAACCAAAATGCTGAAGTTGTTCCTGAGGTTCAGCCTCAATCTTCTGAAGGCGTAGTGGTTGATCCTCCAGTTGCTGCAAAAGATAAAAAGCCAAACAAAAGCAAGCGCTCCAAGGCCCCTGCTCAGGCAGTGGCAGCCAGTGTGGTGGAGAAGCCTGTCACAAGGAAGAGCGAGAGGATAGACCGGGAGAAGCTCAAGCGGGCGGGCTCCCCTCGGGGAGAGGCACAGAAGCTGTTAGAACTGAAGATGGAGGCGGAGAAGATCACGAGGACTGCTTCTAAAAACTCTGCAGCGGTGGGAGGGAAAGGGAGGAAGCAGGGGATTAGCAAGGATGGTGGAATGTGATGGACATCCTTATCCAAAGTTAATGTATGAAGACACAAATTGGGTGTCAACATACTTTATATACAACCAGAGATATGAAAAATGTGGTATATATGTGTAATAAGAATTGTAATGCAAAGAAAGTACATGTATAAAGACATAAATTGGCGTGAACATACTTTATTTACAAAGATATGAAAAATGTGCTCTATATGTTTAATAAGAATTGTAATGCATTCTGTTGTTGTGTATTTAAGAAAATAAAATCAGTAAACTCCAAAAAAAAAAAAAAAAAAAAACTCTGCAGCGGACCCGGAGCACCCTGAGCCAAGTTTGCCCCTGAGCCGCACAAGGCGTCGGAATGTCAGGAGTGTCTATGCCACCATGGGTGACCACGACAGCCGCTCTCCAGTCAAAGAGCCTGTTGAACAACCGCCGCGAATGACCAGGAAGCGCCTGGAGCGAGAGCTTCAGGAGGCCGCAGTGGTCCCCACCACGCCCCGCAGGGGAAGGCCTCCAAAGACACGCCACCGAGCCGAGGAGGACCAGGAGCACGAGGCCAAGGAACCCGCGGAGACTCCCAGGCCCACCGAGGGGTGGAGGTCCCGGAGGTCACAAAAGTCAGCAGCAGCAGCCGGCCCCCAGGGGAAAAGGGGGAAGAGCGAGCCAAAAGCTGATGCCGAGGCTGCCACTGAGGCAAGTCCCCAGGTGAACTAAAGAAAATAACACCAAGGCCAAGGCTGATAAAGAAGAAGCAGGAAGTGAACAGAAACGGGATAGAAAAGAAAGCAACACAGACAGAAATGTACCTGAGACTCCCCCAGTTGAAGTGGTGGAGAAAAAAACAGCCCCTGAGAAAAATTCCAAATCAAAGAGAGGAAGATCTCGGAACTCTAGGTCAGCAGTGGACAGATCTGCACATTTGAAAACCATGGACACGGCCGTCAGTCCGTGGCCAAGGGGGCTACAGTGCAGGCCGTGGACAGGGAAGCCGGAATCGCGGCAGTCTCCCCCAGAAAAGTGAGAATCCCCAAAAGGATAGTAGCCCCTCATCCCAGCTGAAAAATGATCCAGTTGAACCCAGCAAGGAACCGGAGAAGGAAAACGTGTCTGCCCCAGAAGCCACGCAGCTAGCCAAGCAGATGGAGCTCGAGCAGGCCGTGGAGAATATCGCAAAGCTCACCGAGACCTCTGCCAGTGCTTTCAAGGCGGCAGCCGCAGGTGCATCCCAGGGCCCTGCCACAGAGGACAGGGACAAACCTGCGCACCAGGCGAGCGAAACCAAACTGGCTGCATCCATTGGCTCCATCATCAATGACATTCCTGGGGAGCCAGAAAACTTCCCTGCACCTCCCCCTTACCCTGCAGAATCTCAGGCAGACCTGCAGCCCCCAGAGCAGAGCGTGGAGCCCGAGACCCATGAGGCTGTGTCTGGCATCCTGGAGACAGAGGCCGCTACAGAGTCTTCAGGGCCACCAGCCAGTGCCCCTGACCCCTCCGCAAGCCCAGCAGATGCAAAGGAAGTCAGAAGGAACAGCAGTGAGCCCTCCCAACCGGAGCAGGAAGCCAAAGGGTCAAAGGAACCAGAAGTTGCTCCCACTGGTAAGGACAAAGGGCGCCAGAAGACAACTCGATCTCGCCGCAAACGCAACGCAAACAAGAAGGCAGGTGCTGCTGCGGAAACCCATGACCCCGAGCCAGTCCCCGCTCCAAGCAAGAGCCCTGCAGCAGATGAGGGGACACCCGAACGCCCCCCAGAACCCCCACAGGAGGAAAAGCAGAGTGAAAAGCCTCAGTCCCCCCCTCCTCAGGCATGTGCTTCCGACCCAAGCAAGACTCCACCTCCCGAGAGTCCAGCCCAGGAAAGCAGCATTGAGGAGAAGACTCCAACCAAAGCGCCCGCGCCCCCAGACCTCCCTACCCCTGCCCAGCCAGCACCCGTGGATGAGGAGGCGCAAGCCAGGTTCAAGGTACATGCAATCATTGAAAGTGACCCAGTGACTCCGCCCAGCGACTCGAGCATACCCCTGCCCACAATTCCCTCTGTGACTGTAGCAAAGCTTCCACATAGTAGAATTCGTTTTTTCTACCTTTTTCAAGTGTTTTGTTATGCATCATTAGGTTATACATTTGGGATCTTCTTGATTTTCTTATGCAGGCACTCATAGTTACAAACTCTTTTTAGAATTGCCTTCATGGTGCCCCAAGGGTTCTTGTATTTTATATAATTATTCTTATTTGAACTTAAGAATTTTTAAATTTCTCCCCTGAATTATTCTTTACTCATTCATCTTTCAAAAGTGTGTCATTCAATCTCCATGAGTTTATGTAGTTTCTGTAATTTTTTTTTCGGTGTTGATTTCCTATTTAATTCCATTATGATCTAAGTAGGTGCAAGGAATTATAAAAATTATTTTTGTATTCACTAAGAGTTGTTTTGCAGCCTAAAATATGGTCTTTTGGAGAAGGTTTCATGAGCCATTGAGAAGAAACTATATTCAAGTGATGTTAGATATTCTAAAGATGTATGTTGATTCCATTTGATTTATCATATTTTTAGGTCCAAAATGTCTTTACTGAGTTTATATCTGGATGAACTACCTATTGATGAGAGTGGAATATAGAAATCACCCAGCATTATTGTACTGGGAGCTGAGTCTTTAATTTGAATAGTATTAATTTTATATAATTAGATGCACCCACATTGGGGACATAAGTATTTACTATCATTATATATTCTTGTTGAATAGTTTCCTTTATCAATAGGACATGATCTTTCCTCTTTTGATTAATTTTGTTTTGAATTCTGCTTTGTTAGAATATGAGAGTAGCTACTCCTGCTTGTTTTCAGGCTGCATTGGCATGGTATATCTATTTTATTCTTTTACTGTGGTTGCCTTTTCCTGTAACATGAATCTCTTGCAAGCAACCTGAAGTTGGGTCTTGTTTTGTTTTTTGTTTTTTTTTTTCATTCTGCCAGCCTATCTTTTAATTAGAGAGTTAAGATCATTCACATTAACTGTTGTTTTAGAGAGATGTTTATTAAATCTTACCACTTTGATTTACAATATGTAATTTAGTTCTCGTTCTCATTTACTTAGCTACTCTTCAAATGAGATTTGTTCACTTTTTATTTCATCTGTAGGCAGTATTTCTTTAAATAAGTTCTGTAGTGTCAGCTTTGTAGTCATGAATTCATTTAGCTTCTTCTTACCTTGAAAGGTTTTTATTTCTTTTTCAATTTTGAAGGATGCTTTGTTAGATATAGCAATATTGGTTGATGTGGACAGTGATGACTCAGATTGGGAGTCCATGGTTGATTCATGGCTGTGGTGTGCCTACTATCTGGGAATGTTTCTGTGCAAGGGATGCCAACTTGCTATGGTGATGGCCAGCCTGAAGAGGCTCTGTGAAAGAGTCTTATCAGTTTTGTCCTTGATCTCAGACACAAAGCTCCAGAGAATAGAGGATTTCTGAGTATGTCAAGAAAACCACAATGTTTCACCAGTGCTGCTACTTCCAAACCTGCCTGCTTAACATTAACTTTAGACAATGGGCTTCCTAAGTGCTGCAGGAAGCTCCAAGCATTGTAACAGTGAAATAGCTCCAAGAATGTTTGTAGCCCGGTAACTTTCTAGTTCGAAAAAAACAATACCTCTATAGTCTTTAACTTCTTGATGATGAGAACCTATAAAATAAACAAATTTGCTGGGCCAGCTCTTCAGTCACTCTTTCTCCATCAGACAGCAGTGTTCTATCTGATCCCAGCTTTCTCTCAATATCTGTGTGTTTTTCTTAATTCCATATCACCCCTTTTTGGTTTTCTAAAGGTTCAGCCATGCAAGTCACAGCAAGTTGACATTATTTTCTTTCAGGACTTGGAACACATCATTCCAAAACCTTTCAGAATTTTTGCTGAGAAATCAGAAGTAATTCTGGTTAGCTTGCCTCTTTATGTGACCTGATGTTTTTTCCCTTAAAGCTTTTAAAATTCTATCTTTGTTCTGTATGTTAAACATTTTAATTATGATGTATTGTTGAGAAGTTCTTTTTTTTTTTCCTTGTCTATTTAAGGTTCTAAATGCCTCCTTGTAGCTGAATGTCCATTCATTCTCAAAGCTTGGAAATTTTTCTGTTACTTCTTTAAAGAGGTTATCCATGACATGAGTCTTCATCTCACACCCCCTTCAATTTCTCTGATTCTTAAATTTAGTGTCAATGTTGTTCCAGAGTTCTTGTACATTATGGTTAGGGTTACTTATTTTCTTTAATACTCTCTAAATGTTCAAGGCCAGTCACTTTGTCTTCCATCTCTGAGATTCTGTCTTCAGCATTGTCTACTCTATTAAAGAGACTTTTAACTGAATATTGTACTTGATTTATTCTGTCATTCATTTCCAAGACTTCTAATTGGTTCATTTTTTCTTTAATATTTATTTAATTGTAGATGAACACACAGTATCTTTATTTATTTTTATGTGGTATTGAGGATCAAACCCAGTGCTTTACACATGCAAGGCAAGTGCTTTACTACTGAGCTACAGCCCCAGCCCCGTCTAATTGGTTCTTTTTAAAATCTCTTTCTCCTTACTGAATTTCTCATTCATATTGACTTCCTTAAATCATTCAGTCATTTTTCTGTGTTCTCTTGGAATTCATTATTTTTATAATCATTCTTTTGACATCTTAATCTGATATTTCATCCATTTCAATATCTTTGGGGTAAGTTGCCAGTTAACTATCCCTTGTTTTTTCACATTTCTTGTATTCCTGTGTCAGAGTTTATGCATTTGTTGGGATGTATATATCTTTCATGCTTATGATTGGACCACAGCTTTCCCTTGCCAAATTGTCCTAGAGTAATCTAGATTGAGACCCCCCCCCCACAGGTGTGGTATTCTCAGGCTTTGTGGTAATTCTGTGTCATTGTTGTTGTTATTTGTTGTAGAAGTGGATGTCCATAGTGAGACTGAAAACCCACCCATAGAGATTTCTATTTGGAGCTTTGGGTTTTAGTCTCTTCTCTTCTTCGTAGAAAAGTATAGCTGTAGTTTGAGTTTGGTTAATTTATGTGTGGAGCAAAGTGTGCTTTCTTTTGGCTGAGTTTAATTCAGTATCAAAATCTCTTCCCTGTGAACTTTCAGTGTCCCTGTGTATTAGCTGAACCTCACAGAAAAAAGGGAAACAAGTAATAGCACACAGAGAAGCAAACAATATACAGCATTAAAATAAATGCCTTGTGAGGAGCTGAGGTTGTGGCTTAGCGGGAAAGGGGCTGAGGTTGTGGCTCAGCGGTAGAGCACTTGCCTTGCATGTGAAGCACTAGGTTCGATCCTCAGCATCACATAAATAAATAAATAGATAGATAAAGGTGCTGTGTACAACTAAAGAAAAATTTTAAAAAAAGAAACTGAAATCTGAAAAAATAAATAAATACCTGGTGCCTACTATGATATCTACAACACTACCACAGAAACAAGAATGATGGGTTCAACAATTGTCAACAGCCAAAACAGTAAATAACCATGAACTATATCTGGAATTAATATAAACAGCAGGTGTCAACTCTGTCATCCATAGTAGTAAGAATCACAACAACATAAATGTTGGGGGCAGGAGTTATACAAACCATATAGTTCTAAAAGATGTTAAAAATACAGTTCATTAAGAGAAAAGAAAATATGATAGAATAAAGAGAGTTTAGAATGTTCAAATTGTGAACAGAGAATGCAGATAAGATGTATCCAGTGATGGTTATAAGGAAGGAGGAGAAGAAAAAGTAGAGAGAGAACAAGAAAATTTCGTGTTAGCAGGACAAGAATGGAGAGAAAAAGAAACAAAAACAAAACAAAAAATATATAGATAGATCAAAAGCCCTAACCCTCAAAAAAGAAAAACGACTACATCTTAAAAATGCTAAATATGAGAAATATATGTGTGTGTGTGAATGTGTGTGTGTGTGTGTGTGTGTATATATATATATATATATATATATATATATATATATATATAACATACATATATGTAATATACACACACACATATATATAGATATCTACAAGCCAATCAGCACAGCAAGAACAAAAAATGGAAAAGATTCATACTGAAAAATTAAAAGATTTTCTCCATTGAGATGAATAAAACAGTTAAAGAAAAATGAATGGATGGTCACTACCTATGCTCAACTACCCTTTTTTCTGTTTCTTCTTGGGCTGTGTACTGACAAAGAGAGAGAGAGAGAGAGTAGCAGGCAGAGCAAGGGCTGGGGTTGTTAACCTCTTCTCCTTTTTGTGTTGCTCACCAATCTGCTAGTTGGAGTGGCCTAAATCTGACTTTCAACATTTCCTTCTCACCTATATAAGGTAGGATGGAATGAAAAGTACTCTTTGAAATTTTGTCTGGACAGCCCAGATGGATGCACTCCCAGGACAGGGCTACTGAAGAGTTCTGTGTGCGGAGTTCCAATGACTGGAGCCTAGGTCTTATGGGTTTTTACGGGCTTCATTAGGTGGTATCTGCTCTGAAGGGATTAGATCAACACACCTCTAGGTTCTGGCAGATGCCAATCTTGATTGGGAGTCTGGATCCCAGGAGCGTCCCAAGAATTCTACTTGCAGAGCATGGGAACCAGTCCTCCACACACTCTGCTACTCATAATCACAACGCTCCCTCATTTAGTCACTGAGTGTGTTCACGCCACTCTCTTCAGCTTTCTGGCCCTCTTCAGCTGGTTGTATGAGCTGTCAGACCCCAAAGAAAAACAAGTTGGCTCCCCTTTATTTTTTCTGACTTGAATCTCCCTGACTACAGTCTTCTTTGTGCCTTTTTCAAACATATTGTGCTAGGAACACCATAGGCCACATGTTATGTGCTTGCCAGGGCAGTATAGCAGTGTTTGCTATGAGTTCCAAAAGCAACAAGATGAAGTGTAACCTCCTCAGGATGGCTCTCCATTTTCCAGTTGAGAAATACAAAACACTTTTTAAACACAGTTCACTGTGCAACGTCTGCATCAGTTAAGTTCTATTTGCTTTTCGGATGTACAGGTTTTTCTGTGCCAAATCTGTCAGTTGTGTTTCTCTCTGTTTGTATTATCCCTCCCCTCTGAGGTAAACCAGCACTGCTGCTGCTGCTGCTGCTGCTGCTGCTGCTGCTGCAATAGGTTTGG